CCCCCCCTACTAGCCCGCCACAAAAGGCACCACCCATTGTGGAGCCTGTGGTTTAATTTGACTCAATGCGAGAGTAAGAGGCCGGGCCAATTTTCTGTCCTCACTCTCTACTATCTTGGAGGGTGAGGCGCCTCCTTGCTTCCTTACACATGATGTCTCCTGGTGCTCCCCTCTGTTCCAACTGTAAACAGGGCTGCATGCAAATCACTCCAGCTAGCTCTAACTGCAGTAGTTGGACAGATACTATCACTAAACAGTCCCAACCTTACCAAACACAAACCCACTTGAATGATGGTTGCAGAAAGGAGCCCTTCCTAAGGTTTATCAGTGGAAAATGGAAGAAGTGGGAGTGGAAGTTTGGAGGAAGCTCCCATTCCCATGCACATTTGGATGTCATTTTGGCTGGGAATAGAGCAATGGATCTTTTATAAGTAGCAGATCTTTTATAAGATCTAGGGTTTTGCCCCCAAAATGAGAGGTTTTTTCCTGCTCCCAGGTGTAGGTGAAAGCATCTTGGTAGACCTATGAGAAATGAGAACATTTTTAAAAGTGTATAAAACACTGCTCCTTATATGCACATTTCAGACCTGATCAAGTTCCTAGTTCCCAACTGTTATTTCCTGCATACTTTTTAAAAATTGAATTACATTACGTTGAGAAAACAACTCTCTGTGTGGTACATTTTTTGCGTAACATATGGAAACCAAAACATACTAATAATCAGGGTCTGTGCAACTGTCAGCAGAAACATTTCCATTGACTTCAATGGATAAGGCCCGCTGTGAGCTGAGCCAGACATGGCTGCATATGCAGAGCATGGAATTCCCAAATATTCATCACTTGGACAAATCAAAATGCAAATTCTCTGGAATAAGGCCAAGTCTTCTTCCTTAATGAAGACTATTCCTGTGCCAGATTTCAATTTAACTCAAACCTCAACCATGTTGCCTACAGGCCTCTTCGAAACAAACACGGTCACAAGATTTTTTGTTTGTTTGTTTTCTTTCTTTTTTCTTTCCAATGGAAAACAAAGTAAATTGCTGTCATGCTTCCCTCACTCAAAATCAGCAGACATGACTTTGCTCAAATTTTTAGATGCAGCAAGGGCAGAAGCAGCTGCATGATTTCACCTTGGGACAGACACCCAGCACAGAAACTCACCAAGGATCACATTTTCAAGGGTTGCCAAGGGACTTAGGAACCTGAGCTCCAGTGAAAGTCACTAAGTCTTAAGAGCCAACATGCAGCACCAAATGTGTAATATTGTCTGCTCCTAAAGCAGAAACAAACTCACAATCGTGAATGTTACACAAGGGCTGAATCAGGTGCACTAGACATTTCTGTTTACTTTGCCCCACAGAACGCATACCCACAAATGGGAGTAGTACAAAACACATGCAGCTGGTGAATTCAGCCTGATATGCCAGAACCATGACCCAGAGCACGTGTTTTTTGAGGCACGTAATAGCTAAAATCTTTTAGAGCTCCAGGACAGCTGGTTACCTTAAGAAAATCTTTCTAGGTTTAGTAAACAGACACTTCCGATGACTGGAAGTATTCTCCACCTATTCTCTGTTCCTCCTCTAAGGAATGCTGCAAATAGTGAGGTAACATTATTCATTGTTCTAAGAAAGTAGTACCCAATATTTTGGCCAGATGAGTGGTGCAGGGCTGGTATGCATGCTGGATCAGGCCCCATGCTGCCTCTGCCTGCCCCGCACAACTGCATCAGGCCCTGCACAGCTTTGGCTGGCCCCCACACACCAGAATTGGGCCTTGGGGTCCTGCACTGCCCCCACGTGCCAGGATTTGGTTCTGAGGTCCTGCACTCCTCTGTCCTCACTCCCACATGACCCCGCATGTCAGGATCAAGCCCGGAAGCCCTGTGCACTGCCCTCACCTAGCCCCTTATAGCCTTGGCTGGCCCCCCACAGGCTGGGATCAGGCCCTGCACTGCCTGGTGCACCCTATCTAGTACACAGGGCCACACTATCCAGCCTGCAGGGCTCCCCACAGGTCCAGAAATTTGGCAGCAGGGGAGCAGTGCCACCACTCCTCCACTGCCAAATTTTTGGCTCATGGGGACTGGAGCCTTGTGGGCCAGATGGCAGTACACTGGGAGTTGGATGTAGCCTGTGGGCTAGGTGGTGGGCACCTCCATTCTAAGGGAATTGGCAGTTTTGTAAGACTGACCACTGTAATTTGGATGACAAGTCTGGGTTACCCAACCCTTTGGTGAATAGGAAATGGACAAATACAGTAGAAAAAATACATTTTTCCTTTATCTGTCAGCTTTTAACAGGTTAAATGCATTAATTCTTTTTGCCTTCATAAACGTCAGTCTTGTCCATCCCAGCTCTAATGTAGAGATGCCAGGGCTTTTTGCTTCTGAGGCTCTTTCTTCCTAAATTCCTTGTCTATGTCCTTAAACCAACACGGCTACCACCACCACCCCTAAATTCTAAACCCACTACACACTTATCACAGGCCTCAGTTACCTCACTCTTCTGCTACCTCCATTTTCTGATCTTTGTATGTCAACTACATTGTATCTAATTATAACCCCCTTGTCATGGTAACTGTTACAATGAAATTATATGCTTGGTTCCCAAAAACAGGGAAACAAGAATGAAGAAATAGCATCATTCTTATCGTCATCATCATTACTAATAAGCAGCAGCTCAGGTCAATGACTAGAGTTCAGGGATAGGATTAGGTACTATAATAAGTGCTTTCTAGTGGTAGCTTGCATAGAGTAGCCTTACCTTCCTAAAGAAATACTGTGTTGTTATGGCAAAGATGTCAAACCCACGACTGGCTCTTTTCAGTTCCTCGTGAATGCAGCTTAATTGCTTAGACTGCTCATCGCACTTTTCCTGCAGCCGCTGGACAAATTGCCGTTCAGCCTCTCGAGTCTGCAGATCTGGTTTAGAGGAAATTCCATTCTTTGGAGTTGTTGGCCTCTGTTTGGGATGGCCTACAAGGAAAAAGTAAAAAATCCCCCAAACACAGTAATCAGTTAGTATATATGCATGGATGCAACTTTTTCACATTTTTAAGGATCCTGGAACTCATCTCTCACTATTATCTGCCTGCAATAATCTGCAGTATTCACATAAGCTTTCTAATGCATTTACTTACAAAAACCCCTAAGAACATGATCCTGCAAGAAGCTGAAGTCCAGTAGTTTGAAGTTATTGAAGTATCTTACTCTCTTCTGATTTCAGTGGGAGAAAGGCACCTCAGTACCTTTAAGCAGGGGGGTCAAACTTATCAGACTCCACAGCCTGGATGAGTAGTGTAGGGTGGGTTCATACGCTGGATGAATGCCATGTGGCCAGTTTCACTGGCCCGATCAGGCTTACAGACACTCCCTCCATCCCTCCCCCACTTGCTGAATCAGTGCTTGGCCCAGCTGGTCCGGGACTGCACTGCATGTGGCACTTCCTCCAGCCAGTCTGGGTCTGGTACCCATGCTGCATGCAGTGCTCCATCCCTGAGTGGCCGGGAGGGGTGCATGTGCAGGACACGTCTCAGACCAGCAGGAGTAAGTGCCATGTGTGGCACACATCCTGGACTGGCCAGAGAAGGCACCACATGAAATGTGCATCCCCAGCCAATCCAGGCCCACTATATGCTGCCCATGGATCGACTCCAGACCCAAGGGCAGCACCAGGGGCTAGAAGATAAGGCTCCATGGACCATATCAGACCCACAGGCTGCATCTTTGACACCCCTGATTTTGAGGATCTGGGCCTAACTGTCCTATGTGGTGAGAAGTGACCTGGGATCCCCCTGCATTACTGAGACTTGAGGTCACCGAGCACCTTGAAGGAGGGGCTAGTGTGCAGCAGGCCTGGATCCTATGGTCTTCCTGTCATTAGCAAACCTTTGTGCAAAGAGTATTTCATGCCCTTTCCCTCTCTGTGCAATCCAAGATAGGCACAAAACCTTGTTCTGTCAAGCAAATGTCATATCCTTATTGGAAAAAAAAATGTGTAACTGTCACATGTGTCTGCCCACTTGTGTAAGTGCTTTGTGAAAAAAAATTTCAAGTTGCCATTTCTATGCTGTGGTCACATACAGGCTACAGGGAGACATTTTCTGAATTCTGATCCAGGACCTATGAAGGCTAGAAGAGTGGGGGAACAGGAAGATATTCTCCTTTTAGCACAATGAGTACAAGGGACAGGGACTGCAGCAGGCTAAGGACAGGAATTAAGATAGCAAGACTTGGTTGTGCAGAAAAAATGCTTTTGTTCATGTCAGAGGGCTTTAGAAGTGACTTGATTCCTGCCTCAACTCTGAATCTGGAGTTTCCATCTGTGCAACACTTTTGATAGCTATAGATTTTCACACATGTCAGTGAGGAAGTACTATGAAGAAAGCTGGCTTACACAGGCACTTGAATTTGAGATGCATAACCTTTATGATTGGTGATGATGTGAGAAAAAGAGAGAATCCACTCTGGCTAGCAGGTGCCATAATGAGACTGTAGGGAAGACAGCTGGAATCACTGAAACATAAGCAGTAGAGAACTCCACAATATGCTATTTCTATAGAATTATTTTTTAGAGTAGAACTTAAAACGCCTGTGCATATTTTCATCTCTAGACGTTATACTTAATTTTCTACTGAGTGAGTCACTGACTCACCCACCCACCCTTTGAGTAACAAGTTATGGCTAAGGCCTACCCACAGCTCAATATAAAAAGCATCTACTTGAAAATCTAGTGCTTAAATTTCACCATCACTTCCCTTGTATCTGGAGGTGGCCTTTATCATCATGCAGCTTACCAACCCCCCTGTTGCTGCCACTATGGAAATTGCTATAGGAGACAGCCACAGTGACAGCAATCCAGGATCATACAATGAACTGTGTGGTAGTGGTAAGGGTGACAGCATCACTAGCTTTGTTATACATATCATGGGCACAGGCATGGTTTGGATCTTATAACAACAGAGTTGCATTTTGCTGTACTGGTCCAATCTCATGTGGCAGACTGTTCCCAACATTGCCCCTCCTGACTGCTTATACAGAAATGTATCTGTGTCACTCCCCAAAGGGGCTCACTGGGGGTGTGAGGTGACACTTCCTGATAACAAATGCAGCAGAAATCACTGTTTTCCAATATGATGCAGGTATTTCAGTCCCATGGCATTGTTGTTTAAATTACAGCTTAATGAAGTCAAGACATTAACTGCCATAAGACAAAGCCAAAAGTTGCAATGTATGGAGTTAAAATCCTCCACAGTCCAACACTTTAGTGTAATGATGTTCAATCTGTGGTCTGTGGAGGTCCCCATGCCACGGTTACCTTGAATGACTCTGGTGGCAATTAATGCTGCCCTTGTTCCCTCTCTGCCAAATTTCCAGACCTGTGGGGTGCCCCAGTAGCATAACTGGCAGGGGGTGACCAGGCAGCAGCCCTAGATGCTACTCTTGGACGGAGACAAGGGGTGCAAAATTAGCCATGGCCACAGCAGCAGCTGATTGCACAGCTGCCATTGGCATGGTGGCAGTTGACACCGTCCCATGCATCAAGGTTGCCCTGTTTGGCCTCTGGGAAGCCCAGCAGGACATGGTCAGAGTTCATGGCCAGTCCACATAGAACGTGGGTCCAGTCTACAGCCCAACTCAGGGCATGGGGTCAGTTTGTAGTGTGACTCAGCACACGGGATTGGTCTGCAGGTTTGATCCAGTGTGCAGGGTCAGTTTATGGACTGGCCTCGTGCTGGGTCTGGCCATGGATCTGCCCTGAGTGCTAGCCAGATCCAGCCATAGACTAGCCCTGCACCACTTACTGGCCCATGGGACCAGTTGGGTTGGGCCCCATAGCTATAGTGCAACCCAGGTGCTGATTTAAGACCTGTTTACACTACAACTTTAAAATTCTGCTGTGAATGAGTTGAAGGCTTGTTACCAGTTATCATGTAGATGCAGTCTTACAGGGCATGCGTTGACCTGACCCTCTCTGAGCTCTGCATGACTTTTCTGTCTAAACTGCCAGTCATGCTGGAGCCACTTTATATGCTCTCTCTGTAAGTGATGTTCATGTTACAAATCCAATTTTAACACTTAGCTAGAATATCCTATTTTCCTCAGTGTTGTTACTCTGTCACGCTTTAAAAACAAGAAAAGTTGATGTTCAAGTGGTGTCAAGTGGTTCAAGTGTTTGCCTGACGAAATCACTTTGGCCTTGTAAGTTCTTTTGGAAGGTTGCTCTGTAAATGCCTTGTGTTCAATTGCACAACCCCCTGCTTGGATTTTGAAGCCTTCTTGCTTTCCTCTTCATCTCTGATCTCTTCATATTTTTTTCAGTCTGCCACCATTGCATGCTGGAACACTTCATGCTCATGTACTCTGAAACTGTCTGTGGCTAACTGAACTGTTCTTGCCACTGGCCCCAAAACTTTAGCCTGGGGGCTTTTGTCAGAAAGAGGGAGAAAGGAAAAGATGCCTTATTAATATGTGCTTGTGCAGAGGATAGCCTTTTGCCTGCATATCAAACACGTGTGTGTGTGTGTGTGTGTGTGTGGACTTACACATTACACTTAGACCATACTACTTTTGCGCAGTGCTAAGTGTTGTTAAATTTAGGATGTTCTGTGAACAGTCACGCATTAAAAGTTAATGTCATTTCTTGCCTGCGCATCTCTGACTTCCCACTAGAGGGCTGGTAAGCAGTGGGGTGCCTAGATGCCAGGGCACCTGGGCTCTATCACTGTTCTTCATGGGGAGGAGGCTGTGAGCAGTGCATCCTGGGATGCCAAGGGACTGCAAAGTGCTTGTTTTATCTCCATGGAGTACACTAAGACAAGCCAGGTAGCACAGCCCAGAGTTAACCCTTGCCTGAAGTGATGTACCTCTGAGATGCTCAGAGGGCACTTGGCATTAGTTAACAAGCGTTAATGTGTGGATGTTTGCATTTTAAGTGTCAGTAGTATGATCTCAGTGTAACATGTAAATTAACCCTGGTGAAAGGAATAGTTCAAAAGGGGTGCATTTACACAAGACATTTTACTGAGGAGCTGACTAATTAGCTCCACAGTAAGCATCACTGTTTATATGTGTAGCGCTATTAGGCCACAGTAAACTAACTAACTATGCTGTAGGATAGAACTGTCCTACAGTGGAGTAGTTACGTGTGGTGAGCTGTACATGTAGATGGTGATGGGGCTGGCTGGGGCTTGAGGGTCTTCAATATTGGGGCTGTCTGCCAGCTAGCCCCATGCTGTAGTACTCTCGTGTCCCAGTCAGCCCTTCCACAGCACATTAAGCCAGGTCAGAGCAGCCCTGGTCTGGCAGGCTGACCCCTGCGGCCCCTTGCCAACCGGGGCTGCTCCACCCAAGCTCCAAGTGCTGCAGTCCTGGGCGCATGTTCAAACACTGCACCTGGGAGCAATAAACTCCAGTGCAAACTGCTACATATTAATTGCACATGTAGATGCACCTGAGGTGTGTGTGTTTTGAATCTGTATTTACACTGACCCCATGAAATGTAAGAAAAAAATAGGAAATTTATCTCCAACTAGCTCTCACCAACAAATGTGACAGAATAATTTGTAATCCTGTAGCTCTATTATACTGAAAACACAGCCTAATCACAAGGGATTAAGTAGCTTTTTTCATATATTTATGCAGAACCCTGAACTGATGTGATAGATGTGTGAGTGCAAATTTTATACTACTGTCAAAAAAGAACAAGCAGAATTTTAACACAAAGCCTCATGAGCATTAAATCACAGGGAATTGACTAATCTCATTCTGGCAATGTGGCAAGAGAAAATACTTGTAATTTTTGCAAGATAGCCAAGCAGCACACCAGTGTCATTACACAGCATTTATTTACTTTGAAAAGCTCAGAAAAGTGGAGTGTGATTTTAAAGCAGTTCATAAATAGGCCTTTTCTGTTACTCTGACATTTTTCCACTGGCAATTATTTGCAGATGTGATTCAGACACTGAAGAGGTTTTGGACTTTGATCTGAGTGTGCAACAAGATTCTTTGATTTCCAGATGACTTAACCTGTGCCTCTGAAAACCTGCAAGTACAAACCAGCATTCACACTGATCAATGTCCACAGTTTGTAGTAGCAAAGATAGATACCAGGATTGAAGAATTAAATTTTCAGAATTAAATTCATCATGATGTAACACTTAAATACTGTGGTGATGAATGCTCCAGAAAACCCTCTGACATTTAAGGGGATGACTACTCATCAGTCATGCCCAACCACAGTGTTCATTACTTTATACTCATTTTATCTGCCATTGTCTCTAGTCGCTCTGGTGCAGGTATGGTGTATTTCTTTATATCTGTCTAGCACATAACATAATGGAGTTCCTTTCCTGATTGGGCATTTCAAGCTATCACAATATATACATAATTACTACTAACAATCTGTCTTTCTGCTACAAAAATGTTCTTTTGCTTAGGCAGCAGGGTGATGGAGCAATGGGAAAACAGAGATATAGGGGAAAAATAACCTTGAAATCAAGCAAGATTTAATTAAAACAAAAAGCCATCTGACTGTTTTGTTTTATAGCTTTCTGGATTCCCCTTGCCTTGTAACATTTGAAGCACACATCTTTACGCTGTCCTTGTCAGTATAATAAGCTGTCCTTGTAAATTACACTGTGATATTTTCCTCAGGGATAAAGCTCAGCTTTTCATTTGGGTCTGAAAAGCAGCTCAATAAGCTTATTCTGCCCATTGATGTTTCTGTTTTGCTGCTCTGCATATGATGCAAAATATACAAATGATACCGGAGAATGAATGTTCCTACATTCCTTATGTCAGTCAAAACAGGAGTGTTGGGAGGAAACAGGGCCATGCCCCACAGTACTGAAATCAAAAAGCCATTTACCTTGAAATGCCTCCCATGTATTTTTCTAATCAACAGTTCGACAGAAAATAATGTAACAAATTGTTTTGACTATGTAATACCATCCATAGGCTTCAGATAGGATGTGCAAAATTAATTATTTACCTCCAATTCCAAGGAAAAAGGTGAAGAAAGCATTTTGTGGAGCTTGATGATATGAAAACTGGAGGGGGATGTAGCACAATGAAAAGCACTTCAGTAACACCTGACAGAGGGTGCATCGACATGTGCAATTAACGGAACATGATAAACTCCAGACCCTGAGTGAACTGCTCCCAGGCACAGCATCTACATGTGCACCCAGAACCGCAGCAGGTTGAACCAAGGAGAAGCAAGCCCCTGGCTGGCTAGGCAAACTGAATGTAATTTACACCCCTGGTCACTGTCTACATGTGCATATCAGTGCAGTAAAGTAGCCCGCCATAAAACAGTACTTTCCACAACAGTACTATCCTATAACTGAGTTAACTTGTTTACTACATCTTAATACTGGAGCACATGTAGACTGTGATGCTTTGCTGCAGAGCTAATTAGTCAACTCTGCAGTAAAGTGCATGTGTAGATTCATTCAGAGAGACACAGGCCCCAAACCTACAGCATGATCCAGGTGGCTGGACCCTTGCTGTCTCTCCAGAGCCAACCAGGGATCAGATTAAAACACTTGGGCTATTGTGACCTCTGAGTCATGCCCATTTGCTAAAACAAAACAGATAAACCCTGACAGTATATTAGAAGAGGGATCATCTAACAAGCAAATAACAACTCTGAGGGCTGGACATGAACTGATAGTAAAAGGAGAACTACTTGGGTTATTCTAGGAGTAACAGCAGTTCCACAGCACATTATCTAATGAGGCTAAGGATAGACATCACACATAAACTGGTTTAAGTGATCAGAAACTGATTTAAACCGGTAACAGAAGTTCAGTGCACATAAGCCAATTTGAAAATGGTTGAAACCGGTTTGAGATAAACCTGGCTGAATGTAGTATCAGACTTAACTGATTTGGAACAAAATGGTTTATGCAATGTCTGTCCCAGACCCCTTCCTGCTTTAAATTAAATTAGAGTCCCCCAAAATCTGAGACGCTTTGCTGGGTCGGGCTCTGCTCTCTGCTCCAGCCCTGCAGGGCTGGCCCCCCCTTCTGCTCCCTGGCTGCAGCTCTGGCAGAGACTGCAGACACAGCAGGGTGTGCCTGGCTTCCTCCACTCCCTGTTCAAGCAGCGATTCCCCCCTCCCTTCTGCCTTACACAGACACCTCTCAACATTAGCTAGCATAACAAATGCTGTCTATAGTCCATGCTGTGGTAGACGGGACAAAGGCAGACATGACTGTGTCAGCTTAGGGCTTTTGGGAGCTAATCAACAGGTAGCTGGTAATGTCCCTACTTGGAAAATCTGTTTAAGAAGAGCTTGGAACTAATGGAGAGAGGCTGTTCTTAATTAGCTGATAAACACTGAGTTAGGAGTGATAAACCCTGTGTTATCAACTCCCTGCTGGGGGTGGTGGGGGGAACCTGTCCCTAATCAGAGCATCCTGCTGGGGCTTGGCTATGTCAGCTCAGCACTGTGGAAGGGAAACGAGGGCTGCTCTAGCACCCCCAGGGTTTTAGCCTGAGCCACTGCAGGCACGTGCCTGCACTTTGTCAGTCCAGGTGGTCTGTATGGCCACAAACCAGTTTAGCCTAGCTGAGTTAGACTAAACTGTGATGATTGAATCAGGTTTTTTGAATGTCTGTCCCTAGTCTGAGTGAAGGTTTTGTGAAGGTTTCAGAGTATTGCTGTCATATGAAGAAAATGCATCGTCAATATACATTTCCTTTACCTTTATTTTTTTTAAAAGAACACAAAGGACTATTGTCCAGTAAAACTTGAGGTAGGAATTTAATTTTTTTTTGAGCTCAAATTGTCCAAAGTGCTGAGTGATTTTAAGGTGCCTGAATTTCAAGGGGCTCACTCCAAGAAGTCTTAAAGGAGTCTAATGGTCACAGGGCAAGTATTTGTCCTTTTATGAAAATTACAGCCCTTTAAGTTAGCCTGGGGTGGGGCAGGGTGGGAGTGAGTAGGAATTAAGGTACTAACACTCATTATAACATTTGGAAATGTAATTCTTTATAAAACTGACCAACTTTACAAAGCTGAAGTCATACTTTTACAGATTATTCCTTTGTCCCATTTTAATTCTAACTGAAACAATTGTTCCTTAACCAACTTTTCCTGTAGCATGTTGGTACACTAGCAATCAACTTGTGTTTAAGTTGGAGTCTCCTTGGTATAAAATTGAAGGAGCTGCTGGCCTTGTATTATCTGTGAAGATCCCTTTCCTTTGGAACTCCCTTCATGACCTCACTTGGTCCAAAATACCTTGAATACAATGCTCTTCAGGGGACACTGTTAAACTTATATTTTACCCTAGCATCTGAAGAAGGGAGAGAATTTTCATTTGCTTGATTTTGTTGGCTGCGGTGTCACAAGGGGTGAAACTGCTCAAGTTTAGTTAGAATGAAGGTAATCTTGAAGTGTGTATTTTAGTGGCATTACTGATGCTGAGGATGAAAGGATAGAGACCCAGAATGTTTTATAATTTAAAATGAATAAATAAATGATCTCTCACTTCCATGTTTCAGGGGTGTTGGTTGTAGCTGTGTTCATCTAAGGACATACAGCAGCAGACTCTCCCTATGCCTGAAAGCTTGCAAAGAACAATTTTTCCAACTATTTAGTTGGTCTAATGAAACTTAGGTAAATTAATTTCAAAATTTAACCTGAAAAATGGGGATGGGGGAATTAATCAAAGGGTCTGATCTAAGCTAACAGAAATGAATGGAACAATGCTCACTGATTTCAATGGTTTCAGTGATCTCCATGATATATTATTATTGTTGTTCTTTAGATTTACATCCTACCTCATCCAAAAGGGCTCAGGGCAAACAGACCAGATTAATAAAAGTGTGTAAGCACCTATCTGTATCTTTAGGCACATAAATGCTTTGGTAATTTTGGTCCAAAGAATGCAAGTAGCAAAGAGGCACTTTGGATTTTTTTTTAAATTAGCTGTGAAGAACTAAGGTGTTATTGGTAACATCAGTAAATAAACATGTTTGTCTGCAATCTTAATTTGTCAGTTGACAGTGCCCTGATAGTTGTCTAAAGCCTATTGCTACAGATAGACTCTTCTAATTATCTACAGAAATAACCTAGAAAATGTAAAGCTTCTTTCACAATAAAGACCTTAGATATCAAGTGATCTATTATTACTGTGGGTGACTGTTACATGGTTTCTCTGTCACTGCATTTGTTTTCTGTTCATTAAAAAAAAAAACTTAATAGCTTTTTAAAAGTAATGACTTCGTAGCCTTAGACATTTTTAAACATCAAATGAACCTTTGTTTTGGAAGGAAGATGGTTGCTCTTTTGTAGACTATTCACTTTATGCATGGCTATGCGGAAGCCTACTATTCTCATTCTTGGATTAATGAAGCCTTGAACACAGTCAGTTCTTGTTTAACAATAGTAGGGCTCAGATTTGGTTTATTAACAAGAGATGCAAATTTCACAAGTTTAAATCTTTGCTAGAACAATGATCTCTAGTTTTATAAATACCTGGTGAATGGAGCTTGGTGGTTGATGCTGCTAATCGTTTTGGGGATGAAACAGTGGATCTGTTAGCATCTTGATCTTTTTGAACTTCTTTCTTCAAACCTGCTAAAAATAGACATCCACTCATAGGTTATTTGTAATTATTCAAGAACAAATCTCTAGGAAGCATAACAGCAGAGAAAAGTATAAGCATTTTGCCAGTAATTTTTAAAGTCAAATACTGAAAGGCTTGTGTATGCATTTGCACATGCACAAACACATATGTCTAATAAGCAATGAGCGTACAAAGCTTTCAGTGATGTGCACAAACTGGGCATTTAAATGAGCAAATATCCAGTTATATGCCTAGCTGCCTTGTGCTGCTGCAAGTGTGTAACTCCATACCAGCCAAGGGTGGAATTAACCAGAACAATGGAACAGGTTGCTTGCATTAAATACAATGCTATGTTAATGAGTGTAAACAATGTTAAGTTAATGAGTGTAAACCAATCACCACCAAATCAGCGCAGGTTGATGAGGCACAGACACATGACAGAGAGGTCTATGCCATTATTTTTGCTGCCGATAAAGCTGAGCCAGTTTATGGTTTGAGTTCACTGCAATGGTGCCCTTTCACCATCTCAGTGGATTTCTTTGACTCTTTCATTCCTGGACTGTGCACATACACCATTTTCCTTGCAGCCACTAGTCCCTGCCACTGACAAGATGATGCACTGGGGCTCTCCTTGGCTATAAACCATGGAAACTTTGGGTTAGCATTTCCACTTCTATAATTGTTAAGCAGAAGAAGGTAATTTGGCCTTTACTATTTGCTCCTGCAACATCTAGAGTTCTTCAGTTGCTGGCTCCTAAGGGCTCATCATCTCCCTTGGTTTTGTAATCAGAGAATTCTGGTACGAAGGAATTCCTTCCCCTCCGGAAGCTTAGGCTGTCTGTCCCTGCTGCTCACTGTGAAAATGACCATGCTATACACATAGTAATGTGCAATCACTGATCTGTTTTACCTGACATCTGACAGTCAGAAGATAAGGGTGGAAGAAACAAATTATACTGTTTGAAAAGGGGGGAGATGTACTATGTTTCAAGCTGTTCCACTGTAATTATTATGTGTTTGCTCTACAGTAAGTGGAATCTAAACCACAGTAATTTAGCAGCTATTTCATTCCAGTGTAAATTGCCCAGTTTAGCTTTGCTTACTGCAGGAGAGGGAACTAGATACACAAAAGAGCTGCAATGAATCAGTTGATATGTGTCCATATGCAATACTGCTCCCTCACACATACCCCCTGAGAGCAGTGTAAATGTTCTGTCCACAGCCACAGTATTCTGCTCAGTCAAAATAAAAAGTACAAAACATAAGAAAACAAAGTGAAAACCCTAAACATTAAGATACATTTTCTCATTTGCTTTATTTTGCAGTCTCAGTGCTAATACAAGCACACAATAAATGCACAGTAACGACTACACAGTAGCATGTTCTGTAGATGAGCCCACTGTGCACCTGATGTAGGAAAACAAAGCCACTATGTTTTGCTACTACTTAAAGCCACCACAATGATGCGTTATAATAGTTAGGCTAGTCCAAAACCTGAGACCTTGTTCTACTATGCATTAAGCAAATCTGTCTCACACACCTGGGAAACAGAGATTAGTTTGATGAGTTTATATGAAGATTAAAATTCTTCAGGGAGATTTTTCTGGGATTAGGGCAGTTTTCACTCAATCCAAAGTTATAGTTTATCACAATAATAGTTATACCATTATAATGCTTGGTTTGTTGCTACACCCTCTTCCCTTTCACCACTGCACATCTTAAAAGCTACACACAAATGGACATTTGCAGCACACAAGTAGTAGTTTTTTGGTCCAAAAAAACAAGGACTATGCTCATATTCTGCAACACCATCTAACAGCTCTTTATTAACTCTACATATATAGCATGTGCGTACATGCATATGCATGCACACACACATACACAGATCTAAATTCTTATCTCAATTATAGCAGTATTACCTACACTAAAGCTACTCCAGATCAACAATATTGTAACAGAGAATAGAACAGTTCTCCTATAAAATACTATGTGTTTCTAAATGAAGGCTAAAGGAGAAAATGGGAATGGAATATTTTTGGCCTGACTATCCATAGGGTTATTGTTAGGGTATAATAGAATTTTTCCCCATAATATTTGAAGGAACATTGTGGAAGCTATATTACAGTAGTTAAAAGTAAGTAAGAAATCACTTGTTAGATTTTGCACTCAGTGCCATGGATGGGTCTCTCTGTTAAATGACTTGTGTTCAGTGCAGTATTAGCTCAAGATATAATTTGAATCGACTTCTGTACACACAAAGAAATCTCTAGCTTACATTAAGCCCATTACATTTGAGTTAGCTGGCCTGTACAGAAGATATGGGTTGAAGTGGATTCTCTAGCTAGAAATGCATTGGAAACTTGACTACTTTGTACTTTCAATATGCAGCAAGTGCTGCTCAAATGTGGATAGGGAGATTACATCACCATGAAATCAAGCCTAACAGCAAACTGAACCATCCGTTATAATAGTATGGGAAGAGAAAGAGAAACACTGTTAAATTTCCATCATTCTTAGGCAGTTCAAAAGATAAATTCAAATCAGTCCAACACTCAGCAGTGTATGATAAAAACTTCCCAGTATATCTCCAGGCTCCCCTGTTCCAGGGTTTGAGGACATTCTGCTTCGCACATCCAGTTCAGTCCATTCCTATCATTTGAGATGAAGATTCTCATTTGTGATTAGTACTTTTCACAAAGAAGTGACTGGGATATACATTTTCTGGATCTGTCACTTGCTACACAGTACTTTATTGGTGAGCAGGACACAAAACAATTTTATCGTGCCATTTCATTACTGAGGCTGAGTGAAAGCTACCTATAATGGGAGTTGCGAGACATAAAACAGAGTTCATTTTATAAGTTATAGTTTATGTGGTACAGAGTCAAGAATTACTCTTGCATGGCCTTGAATTTTCTGTGGTTTGCAAGTCAGATTTGAAGGCACAAATGGGCCATCTGCCAGGATACCCAGGAAATTAGTCCATGGCAAATGTGAAACAAAGATATACTGTATAAGGGAGCTGTACTCTTCTTATGCTTTTAGCAGTAATGAGAAACATAAAAATACTTAATTTTTTATTTTGCAAGCAGTATTGAACAAGGAACTCATGGGGAATTAATAAACGCTCTTAACCCCAACCACAAAGCAGGCAGTAAAATCTCCAAATTAAAGCCCAGTTTAAATAAGAGAGACTGCAGGAAAAATAGTCAGCAGCAACACAACGCCAGACTAATAAGACATACTTTATTACTACATAATATGCTTTACACAAAGGGCTTATATGATTTGCACTAATAGCAATGAGAGCTGTACCCAGGCATGGCGTACAAGAATCCACAAAGCATCACAGAGTATTTTGCGGCAAAGGATACCATAAAGAGATGTTTCCCTCTAGAGCTGTGTACAATGATTCTGAAGAAGGTTGCAAGTAAAGATACAAATAAGTACTTTGGCAGCCACCTTACAGGAAAGGAAAACAAAAAAAATAAGTAACAAAGAAAACAAATAGAACTGATTGTCTTCCTTCAGTTTATATGAGTGGGAAGGTTTTTAAGGTAAGATGCAAGAAGCAACCTTAACTTAGGGGGGTAAAATGGGAATGTTTTGAATATATGGAGAAGTTCAAGCAACAGAATATCCCAACTGGGAAGAGTTGCCAAGTGGGGTACAGGAGGTTGCTGGAGCAGAATGAGGGGTGAGGAAACTGACGGATACTAAGTCAAATGTGTAAGATGAAAGTCCACTGACAAATGTCGTTAAAAAAAAAGAAAGGCAATTTAAAATTAGTTTGGAAGACAGATAAGGAGCTAACGATAGGTGTTGATAGTTATAGTTCTGCTTTTGGGAGTGAAAGTAGTCTGGCAGCTATAGGGCATCTACATGAGATGTTTACTGTGGAGTAGACTAATTAGCTGTGCAGTAAACATCATGTGTCTACATGTGTGACCCTATTAGGCCACAGGAAACTAATTAACTCTGCAGCAGGACAGTACTTGAAAATTCAAGTACTATCTTGCTGAGGAGTTTTTTTTTTTACTTTGTAGCACCTCATGTGTACACACTGACAGCTGGCTGGGGCACAAGGGTGTGTGGGCTGCCTGCCAACTAGCCCTGCACTGGAGTACCCTTGTGCCCCAGCCAGCCCTTCTGCAGCACGCTGAGCTCGGTTGGAGCAGCCCCAGGCTGGCAGGCTAACCCCCAAGTCACCTTGCTAGCTGGGGCTGCTCTGACCTGACTTAATGTGCTGCAATCCCAGGAACATGTGTAAGTGTAGTGCCCAAGAGCAATAAACTCTGGCACAATAAGCACCAGAGCTTATTGCTTCACCTTAATAGCACATGTATACGTGCCCATAGTTTGGCCCCCCTCGTGCTCACCAGGAAGGGATTTAGGATTATCATAAAAAGGCTAAAGCCAGACCAATCCCCAAAAGCAAGCTTGTCATCCACAGGCAAATTTCTGAGAGAGAAGCTGCCCCTGGTACTATATCTTACAACAGGATTCATCATCTCTCTCTCTCTCTCTCTCTCTCTCATATATATGAAAAACATATATATATATGTTTTTGTTGAAATCCAAAGATTCAAAATATATGTTGGTTTCTTTGAATGTTCCTCTGGGACAAAATATTTCTTAAAAAGAAAATGTTTCATACTTTTTAATTCCTGAAAATTCTGAAAGTGTTTTAATTTTATTTTTATGAATTGTCCTTTGTATATACTTATTAGTCTTCTTAAACTTGTCGATACTAGTATGAAAAATATTTTAAAATACATACGTTCTAATATGATCTGACTGGATATTTTCTAAGTCAAAAAAGATTAGTCTCCAATTTGATACAGAAAATAATGTTTCCATTGGTACTAAAAGTCTTCTGGGTGATTTTAAAAATAAATACAACAAAAAAATTCAGTTATTATGTCATATTATAATAAGTCAGTAGTAGTTGTGCGTAATAGGAAATACTGAAATAAATACTGTAAACAGTAACATTTGCTTTAAAATGTTC